AAAAACAGTTGAAAATGTCATAAATCACCTTTTTATTTATTCTCAGACCTTAAAATTAGATTTAGTCATTTTTATCATCATTTTAAATGTACCTAACAAAACAGAATCTTATTACAGTTTGTTACAAATTGTTTTAATAATCAGTTAGATTTTTTTTTGTTCTTAAAATAAAACACAAATTATTAATATACTTTGTTATGAAAACAAAACCTTATAAAAATATGAAACCTAAAAAAATAAATTAAATTTTTAAACGAAAATCTTAAAAGTACTGAGACCATTCCAGTATTCAGTCTTACAATTTTTGAGGTAACTCTTTTAACTGAATAATAATTAGTTTCTTTAAATTTTTATTAGCAGCCACAAATTATTAATATACTTTGTTATGAAAACAACAAAACATAAAAATATGAAACCTAAAAAAAAGAATTAAATTTTTAAACGAAAATCTTAAAAGTACTGAGACCGTTCTAGTATTCAGTCTTACAATTTTTAAGGTAACTCTTTTAACTCAATAATAATTATGGCAACCCTAATCACAGTTGACTATGCTTTAGTTAAAAATGTATATTTTTCCTCTTTTCATATATACGGTGACGGCATCAATGTACTACTTTCGGTTATACCGAATGTTGACATCAACTTCGTTTGTTTAAATGGAACACCCTGTATAGTATGATGGTTTTGAATGCTACTTATGATTTTAAGTAGACTTTGATAAGGCTTTTCTGTCTCTAAAATTTACGTTTTTTATTACCATAACTGATAATAATTCATTACCTACTTGTGAAAAATCTAGAAACAGTTGTTTACATAGGTACCTGCGACAATTTTTAGAAATTATTTATAGATAGCTGTAACCTCAAACATTCCGTCCATACTTTAAAAATTGATTAAATACATACACAGTGTGAGATATTTAAGTGAAACAATCGTGTCCATTTTTTCAAATGGAACACCCTGTATGTATTTTCATAGCCTTATGCAGAATTATTTCTTTCAAATGGTACCTACTATGGTTCCCTAAACCCAACTTCTCTAGTTTTCAAATAACTTACTGTTCTTCGTGAATGCAACTAAAATCGTTTAATTATTTTTGAAGATGGCTGTGAAATTCTTAGCAGAACTTCAAAACAAATAGTACAAGTTAATTTTTGTCACTCAAACACCAGCTCTGTTATCTAGAATTCATCTACTCTTTTCTGCTTTGAGNAGGAAATGCATGGTTTGTTTGTAGCGTACAGTGTCACCATTTGTGCTCGTTCTTACGCTGCACTTAAAGCAGTACACATCTGATTTGCCGTGTATTTACATTTTGTAATTTGTATTTAACAACTGAAAGCACCAAAAGTGACGCGCGGTTATCGTTGATATTTTCGTAAAAAATATAAAAAAATGCCGTTGTTTATAGTAAATTATGTTTTACAGAAAAGTGTGTTGGCGCAAACTGTAAGTAAATTAAGTGATTTGTGGTTTTATCTTGTGTTTTTTAATGTTGCATTTAGCACTTGCGTTATGGATTTTTTACACTAATCGTAAGTTTGACCATTTGTAAATAGATAAATTTTACACTTAAATTAGTGAAACAAAAAACTAAAAGAGGTTCAATTAACTATTTTTATTTTCCGCGGCTATTGTTTCGGTCATGCGAGGGCTCATCAGGTGGAAGAAGTAATATTAATAAAAGCAGTTTTTAGAAATTTTATTCGTTTTATCATGTAGTTTCAACAACTTTGTATTTCTTACGATCATCATTTTGGGAACAAAATTTGTATATTTGATGGTGTCCTATTTTTGTGAAACGAAACAAACTGTTTGTGTTTATTTAACAAACTTGCTAATTTCTATTAACTTTTTATTTTACAATTTACTATTTGTGAAAGTCTATTTACAGATAAGGTAAAAGCCCCTATTATTGACACTATAAGAGTAACGGTGAATTTTTTAATTGTATTCAAATTAATCTACCTAAGTTTTTTTTTGTATTGAACACTTTAATTGGTTCATTAACTAATGTGTTTTAATTATCGTACTTTAATAATAGTTAATTAAATGACAAATATATTTATTTAAAATCAGCAACTCAAGTGTAGGTATTATTGACAGGGTGAAATGAGATCAGCGTCAACTATTGACATACCATAGACCCCTTTATTGACATGTCTATCGCGCATGCGCATAAGTTTAGTGATAAAGGGATTGAAATTAAACAAATTAATAAATACGGATTGTTGATAAATATTATTATGAAAAAAAGCAAATTATATAATCAAATATAATAATTAAATTAATATCAATTAAAAAATTCAGTCTAGGCGCATTTTCTTTTTCTTCTTTTTGTTTTCTGCTTCTTTCTAAGTTTTCTTTTACTAATAAACAACAATATTTTGCTCAGGCAATTTTTTGTTTATTATAAAATTANCACGGGTGCAATGCTGATAGTAAATATACTATAGAATGTCTTTATATACAACAATCACAGCTTTTTTGTCATTAGACAATACAAACCGGCCGGTACCGCCGCGCCGCAACCGCTATGTCCCTGCATTTTAAGTCTGTAATATCTTCGAAAATATTCATTTGAATTACATGCTGTAAAGGGCCATATTGATCTATATTAAATGCACAATGTATGTAAAAGTACTTAATTGGATAAGGATTAATACTGTATTGCTTAAAATCGCTTCGTAAATAAGTCATTATTTCTCGTAAGCAGTAAAGGATAAAAAAGTGGTTATTGTGGAGAGATAGATATATATCATCCGGACTTTTTTGTAGACTTTTTTATGATGTACAATACTGTAGTATATTATTTTGATCTATATCGTAAGGTTCAGCCAGCGTTTGCAATGTAAGCGCAAAAAATGTGTTTATTTACGACATCACATTACAAACCTCTAAAATTATCAGTGTTTCTCTACTATATTATGCATGTATTATACATATCAACCTTCCTCTTGAATTACTCTATCTATTAAAAAAAAAAACGCATTAAAATCCGTTGCGTAGTTTTAAAGATATAAGCATACATAGGGACAGACAGCGGGGGAAATGCGTTGCATGATTTCGTTGCATGGTAACTCTCATGAAAAGAACTTACCCTACCGTGCGTAAAGAAGTTTCACTTCAAAAAAAAAAAAATGAATTACACTCTTTATCTACGACAGCGATTATCATGGGGGGCAGGGGGGTTATTATTTCAAAAATCTAGTTCCCTACACATTAAAAAAGTTGCGGCTACCCAAAATGTTAACCTCTGTACCAACTGAACTGTTTTTGTTTCCTTTTTTTTTACACTTGCTAGTGCTTCTTGCACATTGTGAAATAACGAAAATGTTGAGCTTTTGTGTTTTTTTTTTTTGGCTTTTGGTAGTTGGCAGTATGGACGCACTCTGGGAAACACATAGCCATCGTGGTCTAAGCGAAGCCGGCTTAAGCCGACACGCAGGTATTTTTTTTCAAAAAGAAAAATCATTTCTTCACCAAATCATGCTTTGCTTTCCGTCTCTATTCTTACTGCACACTGGGTTTACTTAACATATTACTTTCAGTAGTGTTTAAGACATATTTAGACACAACCATGAAGGAAAGAAGGCTCTTCTTCGTCTCTTTATTGGTTTGGATTATGGGCTAATAATATAGGAATTTATGAATTGATCAACTAACGTCCTGAAAACTAGCCAATCCATTGTTGGTTTATTACGTTCTATTGTAACTGACATACAGAAATTTATGGTAAAGGTCTAAATGATGGCCACCACTCGCAAAGGGGGTGGGGTGGGGGGATCGAAAGAGGAGGTCTCCCCCACCACTGCACCATAAGAAGTTCGTGGTGGTCTCAGCCCTATAAAAAGTTATGGGGGTTCAAAGTTAATAAATATGCCAATTTTTATACATTTCTAGGCATGTAAATATTTATATAGTCATTCTTAAACAATATTCAAAGGTAAAACTAATGAAAAATACATAAAAATATTGNTTCTGCTTCTTTCTGAGCTTTCTATTACTAATAAACAACAATATTTTGCTGAGACAATTTTTTGTTTATTATAAAAGACATACACGAGACAATATGTAAACAAATCCGTTGTGCATGTTAAGGATGTTAAGGTACTTAAAATTGTAGGGTGTCCTAGCGACACATGTTCATTTTCATGTACCTACTATTGACACCCGCTATTTGTAAATTATAATTAAAATTTATTAGTTAAAAATAATGGCCCTGAGATTATTAGTACGCTCTCTCTTAGTAAAATCGTTAAGAAATATTAAATAAACTAGCTATAGTGGTCTGCTCAAAGAAAAAAAAATTCATAGTTTATAATTCATTATTTTCTTCCTATTCAAAAATGCCTAAAAATTGATAAAAATAATATAGTGTTTTAATTATAAAGTTAATGAAATAATCAAAAAAATATGTCAATAATAGGGGCTTTTACCTTATTGTGATGGTTATTGCGTATACATATTACTAAAAACGTTGACCTTCTAATAGATACTATAACAATAATAGAGCATAAATCATTCATCATCATTCATATGATGTGAAATAATTTATTTGAATATCATATATCATATACAATGCCATTAATGGTTCATTTCCATTTCACACATTTGATAACGTTGCCAGACTATTTTAACTGCAGTGTGGGATTCATTAACTAATTAAAATGTTTATTGTTCTATTTTGTAGTCCTTTTATTTTTTAAATTAAAACGTCATGTACATATATTATTGTACTTTTCCCAAATTTACCGAATTTTATAAAGTAGCTGACTTCATTGGTCTTTTAATGTAACGCGTCAAGTCAGTTCTTTTTGTTATTGCTGAATTAATACGTGACTATTATAATACAGTAAAAGCTCTTTACTCTCGGGGTATACGTTCCATAAAAATGCCAAGAATACAGAAGCCGTGGATACGAAATGGTAATTAGTATGGAATCATAGGGGATGCGTTCTAAGGTTTCAAAATAAAACCAATATGTATCAAAATAAAATCCATGTATTGATAAATTCGCAATTAAAATTAGTTGTTGTAATCAGCTTTAGGCAAGAGTTTAAAAAATTTAGTGATTTTTTCTTGTTTTGAATTTTGAAATTAGTCCACTCGGTTACATCTTTTATAAAAGTCGCCTCGGCACGAGCCAATAGTACTCAAAAGATGCTGATACGTTGAAAAATAANAAACCATTTCACCACTGACAAGCTTTAAACTAAACTTACTAAAATTCTGCATTTATGTGGTTTGCTTTTAATCAACAGCCAATCGAAAGTGACCAAATCGGCTGCCTACTTATCTGCTTTTAATTCTTGTAACGAAGTAGGTGTTTTTGTCTAATTATCTTTATTTTATAGTACGCTTTTCTACAATTAAATTAGATAACCCTGCTTTCAACTATTTTGTTTATTTAGAGGCAAACAAACACCTATAGATAAATCTTATTGCAATTCGAGAAAATCTATTTGCATGACATTATGTTATTTGGGTTATTATTTATCTAAAAAATGTCGTTTATGTACCAGTGTCCCAGTGTCACTTTTGTCCCGATACCGTGGGTTGACATATTGGCAATTCCGCCTTACTATTGAACAGGATTATTGAAGTTGTTGGTGTTCTACATCATGTATAGGATGGGCAATTTCGACGTTTGTTTAGGACAACCGTAACAATAAGAGATACAAAACGGTTAATAGCGGCTTCTCAATCTCTTTTTTTTTTAGACAAATTTATTGGTGTTTTTAAAAACTTGATATCGACTTTGTTTTCGAGTTATAATAAATAAAAGTTGAAAATTTCGAGTTTTGGCTAGATGTCCATATATTGGTTGTTTGCAGCATTAAAAAAAAACAACTTTTACTTCTACAGGCACTTTTTTTACATAAAATACGGTGGTGCCGAAATAAATTAAAATGATCCTCTTTCGAGGTATCTCATAAACTTATATTTTGTTAAATAGGAATCATAGTTGACTGTGCTTTAGTTAACATGAAAATATCTACTCTTTTTAAACATATATATGTATAATATGTGGAGTCGCTTCCGATGGGTAAGCATTTCTTTAGAAAAATAATATTTTCGTAGTTTAACCCTTTAATGTTTATTATTAATTTTTAACAATATTCTATGAAACATTATGTNATATGCCAATTTTTATACATTTCTAGGCATGTAAATATTTATATAGTCATTCTTAAACAATATTCAAAGGTAAAACTAATGAAAAATACATAAAAATATTGAGAAAGTTATATAAAACATTATTTAAATATCTTTATTAATAGTGTAGGTTAGGTTAGGTTAGGTTAAGTTATCGAGTTTTGTTCAAGTGACCACCCTCTTCCACTCGCTTGAAAATAACTATTTTATTCGAATTATAGTGTATAAAAAATAATCAACTTTCAACCCCCATAACTTTTTATGGGGGTGAGACCGCGGCAAACTTATTATGGGGTTTTACTCAGGTGACCACCCTCTTTCGATCCCCCCTACATCATTTAACTCCCATAACCTTTTATGGGGATGAGACTGCCACGAACTTTTTATGGTACAGTGGTGGGGGAGACCTCCCCTCTCAATACCACCCACCCTACCCCCGAAGAGGGCCATCATCCAGACCTTAACCCATTTATTAAAGTGTTTGTGCAAGTAATAAAATGTTGAATTAAAAGTTTCTTCAAAAGTACTCGAATCTTTTCTTTTTTATAGAAGTAGTTTGTTATAGTAAACTTATGATTTATTTTTTAATAATTGTTCTATTTCAATTGAAGAAAATTAATCTTGCTGAAGCACGTTCGCATATTAGAATAAGATATAGATAAGTGAGTATTGTTCTTTAGCAATATTTCAAAAATCAAAAAGTGCATGACTACTGTCAAGTAATTGTTTGGTAAAAATTCTAATCAATATGCCTGATTGAATAAGGATTTGGCAGTTGTCTACATGAAACAGTATTGAGCTCATTTTCAAGAACGTTTGTATTTCCTAAATACTAATTCTAGTTAAAATATTATAAATGATGAATTGTACGTTATTCTGTTATACCCCAACGAGAATAAAATTGAAGTTGTTACTACCATCTATTACCTACTTAATGCATTGTAATATTATCGTACTCTACTATATTTACACAATTAACGAAATTAATTTAATTAAAAAACTTTGTAAAACAACTAATAACAGCTTTTAACCCACTGCTTTTAATTGCATACACAAAGAATTAACAAACGTCAATTTTAATCAGCAGTTAGGCTAATAAACAACTAAAACCATTTTGAAAACAAATACGTCTAATTCTTCCATTAGATCACACCGTTTTGACTGAAGATACGGACAGTTTTATTATTGGTCAAAAAGTATGGGTTGGTGGCACGAAACCTGGTAAAATAGCTTACATTGGCGAAACTCAGTTTGCACCAGGAGAATGGGCTGGAATTGTTCTTGATCAATCTATCGGTAAGCTTCAAACACGGAACACCAACAAAGTTTTAAATGTGTTTCTATTGTTTGTTAAAATAGAATAATAAATTTTAGGCAAGAACGATGGATCAGTTGCAGGAGTCAGGTATTTTCAGTGCGAGCCAAAACACGGTGTGTTTTCTAGGCTTACCAGGCTTACCAGCGTCCCATTACCTGGTGCTGATTTAGGAGATACATCGTATACATTTACACCACCCAGTCCTACCAATAATAATACTAGACGCAGCCCAATGTCTCCTACGGGGAGTACAAAGGGCCTTTATAAGTCCCAGCCGTTCAGTAAGATATTGTCTTATTTGTTGGGTATTTCTGTATCTAAAATTGCTTATGAAATTTTATTAGATGTTTCTTCTGCAAGTTTATCGTCTCCTTCTCACGTCGATTTTAAAATTGGTGACAGAGTCATAATTAAATCCAGTCAAGGTTCTAAAGTAGGTGTAGTTAGGTATATGGGTACAACAGAGTTTGCTCCCGGAGAATGGTGCGGCGTCGAACTTGACGAACCAAGAGGAAAAAATGACGGATCGGTGGAGGGCAAAAGATATTTTACTTGCCGCCCCTTGTATGGCTTATTTGCCCCGTTGTCCAAGGTCAGCAAATCACCTCTCAAATATAAACCTGGAAACTGTGTAATTCATTCATCTACCGGTTTGAAAAAGGCTGGCTCAAGGGAGTCTATGACCTCAATGAATTCTTCAATGGTTAGTGAGTTTAGTGGAGTATCTAACATACGAAGGGTAAGACTGGGTGTTAACTCTCTCAACTCACAATCACGGCAGGTAGGTTGAGTGTTGTGAAATACAAGGAAACAACATTTACTTAAGGACAACTGTTAAAATAATACATTGGATCTATTTAACTATTTATTATTAACAGAAATAACATAATGTAGAAGCAGCATGTTTTGTTAATATTCTAGCAGTTGGTCCTTACGTAAATAACTTATGTAAAATTGAAAATCTAAAACTGAAACGACCATCTATCATTAATAAATACAAAATAAAACGTTTCGCAACACCAACCAACCGTTTTATATAGTTACAATGAATATATAAAAGCTAGAAAAGAAAGTAGCCAGAGTAAAACCCCTCATTTCGGTCACCACTTTAAAACAACTGCCTTTCAATGTGTTCTCAACATTCCAATTTTCAACTATTTGAAATGTATATATGTTTCCGATGCCGTTATAAGCAAAGGGTCGTTCCGATTACCCGATATTCAAAATAATAAGTCAAACATATTTGTCTATCAACGAAACAAATCATCGCCGATATTAATAGGCTAAACGGCCACATTTTGAGAGGTTTTACTATTCGTAAGTGTTTTGAAAGTATTGCTGTAGTTTGACTTTTTGTATAATATTGCTTATTATCTTATTTTATTTCCCAATTTTTATTTTCTATTTCGATCTTTATTAGTCGTGTTGTAGTAGAAGAAGAATTAGCAGTTAGAATCGGAGCAATAAATGTTGCTTTTTTTAATGATCTTAAAAAAATAAACTAAAAACTGATTTTCATATTTGTAATTTAAAAAAATATTAATTAATCGGTCGAACTGATTTAAAAAAGGAGCAGTCGTAATCTACATTTATTCTCAGTTATTTTATAATCTGTTAAACATCACAAAAATGAGTAATTAGTCGTAGTGGCAGATTGAAAAGGCACAGAAAAAAAATCTTGAAAAAAGGCCTGTAGTGAAGTAAAGTACGTTCTGCCGTAATTTAAGGAGCGTTAAAGTAGGTATTACGTAAGTAGAATTTTTCTGAATTTAGATCCCCACTCCTCTCCTTTCATTAAAAAACTTGTGGACTTCTCTGAACGATAAAAGAAGAAATTTTATGATTTCTATATTAAAACACAACGATTAAATTATTTTTACAATAAAAAAAAATCTCTTCTATTAAACGTAATAACTATGCGGTCATAAGTCATATAAAGGGCAAATCGATCACGACAAAAGAACTTGCGGGAAGTTTCCGGAAATAATCAGCAATACTCTACAGTCATATAAGGCAGTGATTAACACCCATGGGGGTATAGTTAATGCGCGAACAAGTAGACTGAACAATGAGGTAAATGGTTTCAAATTATGAAGTATGTTATAGTTCTAATTCTATGCAAAATGTATGGTCTCCTCATCGCTCCACCTGTAATATTTCAAAGCTCTGTTATCTAGAATTCATCTACTCTTTTCTGCTTTGAGCGAAGAGTAAATCTTATTATTTTTATTTTCTAATCATTTTATATTTACCCTTCAACTGAAAATAAAATAAATAAATTTACAATGTTGAATCGAAGCATAAAAGCTGGCTTGTGAAATTTTTGGAAAAATAAACGTGAATTAATGAAATTTCAATTAGTATATGATATTTTGTCATGTTTTATTATTTTTTATTATTATCCGGATAATTCTTCGTTATACTACTCCGTGTTGTGCATGAATGCCTTGCATTGTTTTTGATTGGTTTGTGTTGCTTATAATCAGTTGATTCGTTCTTAATCCAATGTGTTTTTAATTAGTGTTGTTTTGAAAAAAATAATCAGTTTGGAAATGGTTTTTATAATCAATTTAACGCTTCAGTTTTATCTTTTCATAGATTAGTTTTTGCAATTTATGAGTATTTATAAACCTTCATGTCGTAACTGACTTGTTTTGATTTTTCTGTTTTACACGATATTAATTTTTTAATTAGCCTATTTCGCATTTAATTAAAACTGCTCTTTTTCTATTCTATACCTTTTTTATACAGAATACACCATCTTCAGCTTCCATGTCAACTAGGACAGCTCTACAGGTATCGTAAACATATAAACTGAGTTTTTATTATTATTTCTTTGCTTACATGTTTGAAATAATAAAGAACGAACACCCTTGGCTTTTGGTTATTTATTATTATGTAACATTTATTTATTAACTGTTGTTATTTATACTTATACAAATAATAATAATAATTAGTGCGTTTTGTTCAATTCACAAATTGTACGTAAAATTTTGGAATTGTTATACGTTATACTGTAAACTATACCTATTCTTGTTTCAATTTAAAAATTTGTATTGTATCTAATGTGTTACCGCAATTCTTTTTGTTTTTATTTATTGTACTGATACATATATAAGGTTGCTAAAAGTAGTTGTAACTCTGACTAATTTTAGATGTTAGTTATGGAAACTATTGAAGTAATAAATTTTTACCCTTCTTATTGAAGAAATAATAAAAACAATTAAATGAAATTTTCCTTTCCGTTTCCTATTTTCGATCTGGCTGAAGCTACGGAGATATTTAGATTTAAAGTAAAATTCATACTTATAAAGTCAAATCGAATATTAATTAAAGGCACCACGCATGTTACCGATTATTTTTGCGTTATATTTGGTCTGTAGTTTTTAAATTTCATTCGACTGTTAAGATGAAAAGATTTATTATATCGAACTGCATACAGATCGAGATTATATGTATTATATACTGTTTTTTAATGCTGCTAAATAGGCGTTTAATATTACCGATACTAAAAGGTGCTGCCTTCGTATAGGTAATATTAGTTAAGTTGTCATTTGGAGAACGTTTTGTACTTCATTAACGCTTGAACAATTATTTGATATACCTTTTTTATTACCATCACTGGCGATAATTCATTACCCACTTGTAAAAAATCTAGAAAAGGTTGTTTACGTAGCTGCGACACTTTTTGGAAATTATATTTATATATTATTTGGAAACCAGAAAAACACGCGTGAGACCCCCGGATTTTAGAATCCAGAACCCAGATATGTCATCAGGTTTTTTTAAACATAGTCAGTGTAATAAAAAACAGTTGAAAATGTCATAAATAACCTTTTTATTTATTTTCATACCTTAAAATTAAATTTAGTAATTTTTTATCATCATTTTAAATGTACCTAATCAAACAGAATCTTATTAAAGTTTGTTACAAATTGTTTTAATAATCAGNAAAAAATAAATTAAACTTTTAAACGAAAATCTTAAAAGTACTGAGACCGTTCTAGTATTCAGTCTTACAATTTTTAAGGTAACTCTTTTAACTCAATAATAATTATGGCAACCCTAATCACAGTTGACTATGCTTTAGTTAAAAATGTATATTTTTCCTCTTTTCATATATACGGTGACGGCATCAATGTACTACTTTCGGTTATACCGAATGTTGACATCAACTTCGTTTGTTTAAATGGAACACCCTGTATAGTATGATGGTTTTGAATGCTACTTATGATTTTAAGTAGACTTTGATAAGGCTTTTCTGTCTCTAAAATTTACGTTTTTTATTACCATAACTGATAATAATTCATTACCTACTTGTGAAAAATCTAGAAACAGTTGTTTACATAGGTACCTGCGACAATTTTTAGAAATTATTTATAGATAGCTGTAACCTCAAACATTCCGTCCATACTTTAAAAATTGATTAAATACATACACAGTGTGAGATATTTAAGTGAAACAATCGTGTCCATTTTTTCAAATGGAACACCCTGTATGTATTTTCATAGCCTTATGCAGAATTATTTCTTTCAAATGGTACCTACTATGGTTCCCTAAACCCAACTTCTCTAGTTTTCAAATAACTTACTGTTCTTCGTGAATGCAACTAAAATCGTTTAATTATTTTTGAAGATGGCTGTGAAATTCTTAGCAGAACTTCAAAACAAATAGTACAAGTTAATTTTTGTCACTCAAACACCTATGTCTATTTAGTAATTAAATATTTTGATTCTCAGTGTCAATTATTGACTATTATTTTTATTAAGTATGGAAAATGAAAATGCGGATTAAAGTTGAGAAGAATTTTTATAAATCGATGCAATACCGTAGATTACAGATAACAATAGTAAAACAAAAAATAAACAATAAATAAAATAAATAAATAACGACATCAGCTGATAATAATTAAATGTGTTAATTTAATGGTTCGATCTGTTAAACATGAATTTACCGGAAGGGTAAACAATTGCTCAAAGCTTAATGGGGGTATAAAATCATAAGTAGAATTCAAAACCGTCATAAAATACAAGGTGTTTCATTTAAAACAACGAAGTTAAATCTACTTCCGATATAACCGAAGGTATATAGATGCTGTTATTTTAATAGAGGTGAGCATACCCAATAACCCTGTTGTACAAATTTTCAAAATTTAAAAGGAAGTAGTTTCCGAAATATTCTAGTTGAATTCGATGTCTTTGTCTTTTTAACCGACTTCAAAAAATAGGAAGTTCTCAATTCGACTGTATGTTTGGCTCGTAATAATGCACATTTTATATTGGTTTCCAGTCGACGCCTCCCAAATCTTAATTAACCTCGTTTCATCCTAAACCTATAGAAAATGTCTTACGAAACATGTTAGACTGCATTATTCAACGTAAGTAATAGGTAATAATTGTAACATTTCAATAGTTATCCAAAAACAAAACACTAAATAAAAGAAAACCTCATCACTTATTGTGGGAGTTTTAATTCAAGTAAGGTTAATATTCAAACTGATGATCGATCTCTTCCAGTGGCGTAACAAGGTCTTAACAGGCCTGACCGTTTAGTTTAAGTAGGACTCTCCTACCTCACAATTCTCCCACCAAACAAAAAATGCACAACGATATTTATGGGAAAGAAAAAAGCACGTACAAAGAAAAGAAATATTGTATTCTTATGACGTGTAGTGAAAAAAAAAACAGGTCAAATGTGAGTCGGACCCAGAATTGCGTACACGTGTACATAGGTATGTAAATAGTTCGTCCGTAACGGGAATCGTTTTTTCCACTTCCTCTCTGTACATTTTAAGTTGCCCCGCCCCCGAAAATTAATCCCAAAAACGAATAATTTCAATTAAAAAAATTATTTGTTTTTGTGATTAACTACAGATTTATGGTTTTCGCCTTTTTCTCTTTACTTGTACACTATAACACATTGATTCTCGTCAAATTTATGATTCTAAGTTAAAGGGCAGGACTTTATAGGACTTGATTTATTTGCAAGTGTCAAAATATACGGCATAATCGACCGCATCTTTTAAGTGCGTTGACTTAGTTGATTGAAGTTTGATTTTTTCTAAACTCCAAGGGATTGTGTTCCTGAAAAAGAGGGTTTTGACCGACAAACAAACTGACCGACGGAAGTGTCCTTTAAGGGTTCCTTTTTTTCTTTTGAGGTGCGAAACTCTAAAAGCAAATCGTCAGATTATAGTTATAATTAATAGAAGACTATCACACTAAAACTGACTAAAATAATGTATTTAACAATATAATATATTGAGGACTCATATAAAAAATATAATAAAATTTTATCATTCACAAACGTTTACTAGAAACGAATATAAAAAGATAAACTACGAAAAAAATTTTTTTACTACTAAATGGTTACACATCACATACGACCTCGGATGTTATATATACCTATATTTAAAAAAGAGCAAAAAAATATTTTTAAATAAAGCAAAGCAAACTATGATTACTATATAAAAAACTACAACTTTACGTTAAAACTGAAATAAATGATGACGCTACTGAATTCTACGCAAATAAGTGCCTAAAGAACATAAAAGCTGCTTTTTTCTAATTTTACAGACGATATGGGAATATAACCAAAACTCGAAATTTTCAACTAATTCGCAAACAAAACACGACCGCCAATTTTTGAATACACAAAATTGTTTCAAATAAAAAGTTGTCCTATACCTGCAAGCATCGAAATTTGCTCTCCCTATACATACATATACAAGATCTGTTCAAAAAGTATCGCGAATTTTGTGTTTTTCAAAAATTGTTTATTTATTCAAAGTAATCCCCACCAGATATTATACGTTTGTGACAACTTCTTTTTTCAATCCTTGAAGTACATCAAACAATTATTTTTTATGATCTTGTCTAGCTCTTCCTTCGATGCTGTCTTTATCTCATTAATCGTAACGTAGCGTCGTCCTTTCGTGGGCCTCTTCAGTTTCGGGAACAAGAAAAAGTCACAGGGGGCTAGATCTGGCGAATATGATGGCTGCGGAATTATTAGTCTGATGTTTTTGGCCAAAAATTCGCGCAGAAGTAACGATGTGTGAGCGTTATCATGGTGCAAAAGCCAATTTTTATTCTTCCACAAATCCGGGCGTTTCTGGCGGATTGCCATGTAATATTCCTTATTGACCTTTTTACCCTGTGGCAAGAACTCATGATGCTCCACGCTCCTGCAATTGAAGAAAACTGTAAGCAAAACTTTCACATTCGACCACGCTTTTTTCGATGTTGATTCGTGCAGCAGCTTCCATTGGGATGATTGAGTTTTGATTTCCACATCATAACCATAAACCCAATGATTCATCACCATTTATGGCCCTCTGGAGCAAATTTGGTTGAGATTGAGCAATTTTAGTACGAATTTCGCGGCACCTTATGCCCAAATCATAATGGCAGAAGCCAGTCGATATATTTAGGCCTCAGCAACTTCTCTGACGGTGATTTGACGATTGGACAATACTATTTTCTTTACTTCATCAATGTTTTCGTCTGTTGTTGACGTGCTCGGATGTCCGGCACGCTCTTCGTCGTTCACATCTTCTCGACCCTCTGAGAACATTTTGTACCGCCGATAAGCGTTGCTTCAGTCTAAAGTAGCTTCACCATATGCCATAGTCAACATTTGGAATGTGTCCGCGCACTTAATTTTGTTTCTCACACAAAATTTGGTATAGATTCTTTGATTCGTTTTTTGAAATAAGCAAAAATCGAAGATAAGCCAAAACACGTGCAAGCGAAGCAGCTGTTAAACATTAACTGAACATTCAACATGGCCGAACT